CCAAGCACTGCTGTTTAGCTGTGCTCATTTCCTTTCAGACTCAGTTGAGTCCTTTTTAGTCTCTGTTCTGTGTTTCTGTATTTCTTCCTTGGATCCAACATTAGGGGGGTGGGGGTGCTTACACATGCATTTATGCATGTCTTCAAATGGTCCCCATCTAGCCTGTAGAGATTTAACTCTTCTAAGCTATCCCTTTTTGCTATATTTAATTAATCTTTCTCCTTTTTTTACAGTTTCCCTTTTGGAGATTAACCAGGTTTCCTGCACCTCTAAGTCAATATTCGCATGTAAGGCGTGTTCTCCAGTGTTATTTCTCAGACTTCTCATGATTGTGTAGAAGCAGCACGCCTTGCAGAAGGTTTTCCTCTATGCTCCTTCCCTCATTGTTGCTCTCGCTCCCTAGATGACTATTGAAAACTTCAGTCCTTTTTTTTTTTTTTTTCACTTGAGGGTACAGGACTCTAACAACCTAGTCCCCAGCGGATAAATCATTCTAAACAAAGTGCTGGCATCTGTATCTGCAGGCTTGCTTACGTTTTCATTTCCTGAATTTTCATTTCCTCAATTGCCTTAATTTTAATTTAAAAAATTCTTACATGATTTTAAGTGTTAGTGTCTTGCTTTCATTAAGATTTACACAGTCTGGCCTTCCCTTACTCCTGAGTGCCCTCATTTCCCAACATATATAAGCCTGTCTTCACTCCTCCATTTTCTTTGTCATACCCTGAAACTGCCTCTCTCTATACCTCTGTCTGGCCTTGCACACGCTGTGAGAAGCCTTCCTCAGCACAGTCCTGCTAAATTCCTGTACTTCAGCATCCTGTCTAAGAGCTGAAGTATTCTTTCCAGCACCTCTCTGTCCCACCTTCGGGTGACACTGGCACCTGCGTGAGCAGCGACTACCTGCTTCCCCTATGTCAAAGCCCTGTCAGGTTTGCCACCTCTCTCCTGGGAGACAAATCCCAACAGCCTGCCTGCAGGCACAAACTCAGCCATCCATATGCTTGAAAATTGACTAACCCTTCTCTAGTCTTCTTTTAAAGAAAATTGGGAGGAAGAGCCTGCCCACATTAATGGTATTAATTTGGATAAAAGAGTTTCAACACAAAAATTGAAAAACTAGTTGAAGAACAGTGACCTTAAGAAAATGAAAGAAACCCTTATTTTTATAGTATCAGAGAAGCAACTCACAGCAATAGCAACAACCTTAGTGTAAACTATTCGTGCTTCCCAACATGCATCTGGCTAGATAAAAGGGAGAGAATCAAATACTCGTTACAGGGGAGTTCTGACAAGATCTTGGGTGAGAGATGGAAAAGCTGGCACAGGAGATGGGGGATTCCAAACTTGAGAGATGTTCAGAAACCCAGGTTCTGCTCTGGGGTGGAGGTGTAAGACCATCTCTGAGATTTGGAAACAAGTTCAAATTTCAGATAATAATTTCCTGACATGACAAGTTATGGGGTCTTAGTTTAAGCCTCTTCCTACTTTAAAAGACAATTATTTTGAAACCTATGTCTGATCACTTCTTAAATGTGGAGCATAAACCAGATACATCCTCTAATTATGTATGTGCATAGACACTAAATCACTACCCATCACAGAATAAAAATTCTCCTTTCTTTGGCAGATGGAAGAAAAAAATGTTTCCAGATATAAAATGATCTAATTCTAATTGTTACTAAAATACTGAGTTATAAGAAAGCCAAACCAAGATACCTCTGTAATACTATTTCCATTCTTCCCTATTGATATTGCTCATTTTAGTGTTTTATTCCGGTGTCATTGAAGTGACTTAAGTTTGATATTTCAATTGCATTTGCTTTTGTAATACATTCATTTTTTAGCTCCCCTTCCTCTGTTAGCTATCTCTTCAAAGCTATGTGTCTTTACTGTTGATCCATGTGAGAGAAAGGAAGCTTGAAAGCTTGTGGAATAAAGCAAGGACGTTCAGAAATGAGAGACTAAGCTGATCCTAGCAGCAATAGCTGTCTGCAGCAATTTCTGAGTGGAGAATGTCAGGAGGACATCTCTCACGGAATGACAGTAAGAGCAGAAGAGTGCCCTCTCCATTACCTGTAGACCAGATCAGTTTTGCATTTCTATTTGCCTCTGGCATGGTGACAGGTCTCAGCCTAAGCAATCCCAGATTAAACTCCAAGACAACCCAGATGGAAACAAATTTGTTGCCACAGAAAAATTTCTGGCGACAAGGCTCCATAGAGAGGAACAGAGTATACTTTCAGGTGAGCCCATTTCTCAATCTCCTTCTAACAGTGTTTTAAACTTATTGTTTAGTCTTTTTTTTTTTTTTTTTGTCTTTCAGACAGATTAGCTACACTTTACGGATGAAGTACTTAAAAAGTTCTCCTTTTGCTATCTGGTAGATTAACAGAGTTAAGAGCATGGTTTCTAGTAGAGAAAAAGGAATTACAGTGGATGCATCCCTCAGAGAATAAACTTCAATGTTGTTCTTAGCTGCTGCTGATTACTTAAATTTTTTGGCCAGTTTCTTCTAAACATTAAAGCTGTTCTGTGACTTTTCAAAACCAATTGCCACCAGCTGTCAGGGACATCAGCTTTGCAAATGCTTCAGCTGGCAGAATAATTCATAACAAGCATTAAAAGCCACTCAGAATAAGCTTTATAGAAAAAACAAACCTCTTAGAGGAGACATTTAGCTAATTATAAGGTAATGATCCACAAAAGGCCACCACGTCCGGAGTTCTCTTTCCACAGTTCATCACTTAAAAATAATTAGCAAGTTGTGTAAATGTCCTTGTGAGCCCACAACAACTTTTGCTTTGGTTATCACCACACAGTGACATCAGAATAGTCAGCGGGAGTGAAGACCCAGGGCAACACAAACGCACCCTCAGATCAGGTCTAGAAAAACTGGCAGGGAAAAAAACTTCTTTTCTGTGCGCTGTTCAATGGAATGCCAAGAAAACTTGCAGTTACAGCATCAGCTGGTTAATCTGAGTGACAACACCCACAGGGCTGGTTAGGGAAGGAAACCTACATCTTTTGTACACCTGGCCCTGTACAACTGTGCTCAGACACAGTTAAGAAGTTTTCTATCTGTCCCACCTCAGGAACCAGCCATTCCCCAGGCTCACCCTATTTGATAACATCTGGTGTCATGACACTTGTATACATCTAGGTCAGTTGGGAATCATTTCCTCCCCTCTCTTCCCTTTCCTCACACCTCCCTTCCCTCTTGTCCCACTGTCTATGATTGCTTACACTCCTCAGATCCCAGAACAAAGGGAGTAAATTTTTGACGACCACCCACAAATCGAGATAAATACATCTCACTGCAGATGTCAAGTGAGATGAGTTTCTTTAATGAGATATTGGAAGCACCATATCTTTCTTCATTTAAAACTGTGATATTCAAATCACAATGCTGTGATGTAGACATTGTCATCCCCCCATCTGTGCCCCACTATCCCAAAACAACATACCGGTCTGATCCTATAAACCCAACATTTTCTCACAGTGTACTCCCCAGACCCTGAGAAGACTCTGAAAACTTTGGGGCTGTACCTTCATGTTATCATGTAAATAACAGCTGTATAGCACCGAGCATAAAATGAGCTGGAAACAGCTACCTTCTGCCTCTTCCCTCATGTAACAGAAAGACCTTATAATTGCATGTGTAGAAGCAGCGTGATATGGGGGAACAAAAATATACTAGCAATAAGATGGGGAGGCAGGAAGGATAGGGGTGACTACAGTAAAATATTTTGTTTCCTCAGAACAGAAATGGAAGAGTGGGTGTTAAATACACAGGATTGACTCACTTTTACTGTCTTCTTGATTAAAGCAAACTTGAAAGAAGTGGTCAGACACTGTACTCTTCTGGAGCCAGTGTGAACACAGGGAGCTAATGTGGAAAAAGTCATGGAGGGAGCTGATTCACAGACCGCTCAGAAAGTCCCGTAATGCTCACAATGACAGTGTCATGTCTTATGAGCCTACGTGTAGCCATTTTTCCTCGCCTCACTGTTAAGTTTCCTTAAATATTTATTAATAAATATCTGCATGTGTTCTGAACAGAAAAGGACAGGACAAGGCTGTTATATTCTTCTAAATTCTCTATTTCTCAGCTCCCCTCCCCGTGCACACATGAAGCTGATTGCTCAGGGATTTACTTTTTTTGTTTCTTTACAAAAACTGCCAAGAAGCAGAAAAAAGTACTTATAACACAGGCAACCTACAATAATGAACAAAGGTTTGTAATCCTATCTAAAATAAAAAAAAAAAAAAAAAGATAGATTAATTTCTGACCGAATGGATTTCATTTCACTAAACAAACCTTCACATTTCAATTTTCCCAAGTCAGGTTCTGAACAGCAACAAGAGAAGTGGCTTACTGTTTGGAAAGTATAGCAATGACATACTTCTGAGATACAAAGACAAATCTATATAGGTGTACACAGAGCACCCACACACTGGGGTATGTGATTTAGCAGTTTCGTGTTAGGTGTAACTTTTGGCTTGTGTTCTCAGGGGTAATTAAATATTTAAATCGCTTACTAGTCGTTCAAAATAGTTTATATCTAGTCAATTTATACAGTCCTACTAAGCTCTCTGAAAATGACTACTGGAATTTTTTTACTGGCTATTGCTCTAGTTCCCCGCTGCAAACATGAAACAGTTTCTTGGTTTATCTTAACAATTTCCTTTCATCAATACAACTTCAACATTCAGTTCTCCTCTTGCCTAAGTGGAACTCAAGAAAGATTTTTTGGAAGAACTTTGAATAAAAGTTCCTACTAGTGGGAACTTGCCAAGGAAATTAATTTTAAAGTTGCGATTTTTTTTTTGGACGTGTTGCTTTGGTTGAATTCTTGGACCGCCTCATTGTTTTGCTTTAACAACCTAGCCAAAAAACCGTCCTGCCACTTTTTCAGGGGTCATAACCTTGCATAAACTGTCTCAGTGATAGAAAACTAACTCACTTTTAAGAATGAATAGATAAAAATGAAACTCACCTGTGAGCAGAGTTTGTGCAAAGAGGTTTTCCCTGCAGTGTGAAGAACACAAAACTTCCCTTCTTCCAGCTCCTGCTCAGGCTGCTGGTGAAGCTGTCCTCCTCCCAGCTGTGAGCAAGGCTGTCAGTGGAACAGCGCAGGAAAGGAGGAGGAGGAGATTGTGTTTCAGCTCCTGTGCTCTTTATGGTTCAACCGTGAAGGGGTCAGCCCAGCCCAGCCCTCTTCTCCCTCACCCACTCATTCATAAATGAAAGAGATGAGAGTGCCAAAAGCAGACACTGAATATGGAGATGGCAACACACGCAGAGTAGTGTTCACACCCATACCTACTGTCACAGACACAAACCAGCAGATAACTGCACTATGATCACAGCAGCTGGTGCAAAGCCCAAATACTGCTAGATACAGCTTATCTAAACACACACAGATGTTGCCTCGTGCAGCTGTATTACAAAGTATACAGAGCGTTAGTGTTGTTATTAATATTATTTCCAGAAAGTTGTTTCTAGTGTTTGCTCAGATTGGATCTTCATTATGTCCAAACACAGCAGAAGCTGATTTCTGCACAAGGCAGCATCTTCTCTGAGCATGCAAGAGCAAGGGCTGTGAGGGAGGGGTTCCTTCCTCTCTGGTCTACACAGCCAGACAGACTGAAGCGTAAACAGATCAAAGGGTTTGTCCAAGGTCATTCAGGAAGACTGTAGCAGATGTAAAAGCTGACCTCCTGGTAACTCATGCTGCTACTCTTACTCCCACAGGAGTGAAAGCTGCACAATGGGATATGTATTAAAGTCGCTATCATTCAAGCTCAAATGCACTACTTTTAAAAAACCACATAGATACAAATTGCACCACTGAAGCTGGAAACAAAATCTGTTACCAGTTTAGGCTCTGGACTGGTACATAACTCACCTTATGTAGCACTCTGCCGTGCTGCCGTAGGACCACCAATGACACCACGTGCTCAGTACAGCACCTAACGAGTTCCCGTCTGCTCACTGCAATGGGGCGGCAGTGCTCCAAGGGCAGCCAGAGATAGTAAGTCTGGAAATAGGAGCCTTGTGTAGGGTACTCCGAGACATGTTCTCCATTTTCAACCTGGTGGAAAGCAGAGTGACATAAGCACAGAAACAAAAAAGGAAAAAAAAAAACCAACAACCCAACAAAAAAAAAAAAACAACATCCAACAACAGGCAGACGATGCAATGACATTTACAAAACTTGAAAATAATGCAGGAGTACCCATGGATAACGTCAGAACCGGCATCAAAAATAACTCCTCATTCCAGACATAGGGAAAGGGCTTTTCAGGTATGACAGGCTACCAGATGGCAGACCCCTTCCTCTGCCAGGTCTTCTGTCAGACCAGAGATCTAAAATTATCTCTGGGGTTAAGGGACTGCTCTGAGTTTCTGAGGAGGGATGCAGCAGAAAAAAAATAGGAATTTTTTTAACATGGCTATAAAAGGCTGCAAAAAGCACAGAACGGTCCTTTGCAGGCTCACCATGCTGCTCTGAGGATGGCAGAGATGCAGACAGCATACCTGGCTGAACAGGCAAGGGACAGGCTCCCAGGAGCACAGCCTAAACGCCCTGTGCAATATTAAATAATATGAAGGGTTAGTATAAAATTTATCAGGACTACTTGGAATGTTCCCGCCTCTGTTTTTTGTTTGTTTGGTTTTTATTTAGTACTCATTTAGTATTTATATGTATTTTTATACACACATATATAAGAATATATATATTAGGAAAATGACAGACTGAGATCTTTCAGGAAGCAAAGTAAAACATTTGTTCCAGTGCTTTTTAATCCATAGTTATGTACCCTTGGATATTGCTGCTCTATTAGATTTAAAGAATTTATAAAAGATGATATTAAGAAAATGAAGTGCAGTTACTTCCTTAGTAATATGTGCACTACTCTTCAGTAAGAATAGCAACAGGGCATTATATTGGACTACTTGCCTTCCCTGAGAGCCTGCCAGTGGCAGAGATCGCTTTGACACCCAGGTCTCAGTAGTGGCTGCAGGGAAACCATTTCCACCTCCTGCAGGGTCCAGGCTGCAGATGGGGAGCAAGTCCTGAGAAGACCCACAGACAGCGATTGCCCCCTTGGGTGCCAGGGAAACAGAGACACCAGTGGAAGTAATATTGTGGGCAGTATTTCCTTCCTAGTTCCCACCTTGGCTGCAATTCTCTGTCACACTGAACTGTGAGCACACTTAAAGATGCGTTAGAAAGATATTAGGTACAGGTGATCAGAATATCCATAAAGCAGAGCTTTGGTCATCAGACACAATATATGTGTATCAGAGTGTGTTAGAAAGGCAGCACTTGACCAGCACAGCTGGTAAATTGGGCCTCTCAGATGAAGCAGAAACAGTCACTTCCACAAACCTCCTTTTCCAAAAATTACAGAGCAAAATAAACTCCAGAAAAATCCTGGTTTGCTTTTCTTTCATCCAGCCATTATATTTTGCTTGTCTCAGCATGCAGATGCTGTAAAGCAGGTCACTGAAGTAAAGGGAGTTGGTGGCTCTGGTCACCTCCCCTTGTCACTTCCAAGGGGTAGAACAGAGTCTGTTGCAGACCACAGCCTCCATCACACACACTCAGCAACTGCATATTTGGACACGTTTAAAACTCTAAAAATGAAAAGAAGTGACAGTTTTCATAGGCTTTTATCTCCATGAATTATATAGCAGCTATCAAAGCTGACAAATAGCTATTATTTGGTGCAAGTGGCAATTCTTGCTTTTCACTAGCTTTGGTCAAATCATTTTAATGTGTGTGATGATTAAGTAATTCCACTGAATTGAATAGCTCCTGGCTTGCCTGTGTCACAATCAGAAGCAGCAAGCTTCAAAAAGAACAGAGCTAAACTGGTGCTATAAATGTCACAGATGCCACAGAAATGCAGCAGGAAGGAAGTCATTTAGACCATCTCCTTGCCCTGAGGCCCAATAAGGAAAGCTAGACTACCTCCTCCAGAGCTTTAGCTTGTTCTCTTAAATAACCATCGAGGATGATTCTGCCTCTCCTCTGGCAATGTCTCCATCCTCTGGCTATGCTTGCTCTTAAAAAGCTTGCACTAATATAAAAATCTTAATCTTCCACATTTCTAATTCATTTAATTCTTGCTTGTCTTTTTGTGAATGGACATGAAAAACAGCCTATTAATACCTTTCCCAGTGTTAATAACTTAAACATCTGAGGATTAATCATACTGTCCCTCTTACACTTTTCTTTTGTAGACTAAACAACCCCGTTCTTTCAGTCTTCTTCACAGACTATCTTTTCCAGACCTCTGCTCACTCACAGTGGTCTCATTTCCAGTCATCAGCATCCCTCCCTAAGCATATTCCAGTGGAGGCCCTTTCTGGTGGCATTAGCTCCATTTAATTCCAATTCACTGATCAATGCTTTGTCTATAGGGGTAAACTTTCATATGGAAGTTTGATTTAAATCCTTTCAAGCACCCATTTTTGTGAGGATAGGAGGAAAATAACTAACTTCTCTGCCTCTTTTGCACTCATAATCCATATGCACATTCCCATTTTATGTAGCTGAGAAGTAAGGACTTGCTACTGCTTTTTCTTCCATCCTGGTACCATCTCTAGAGCCCTTGCAGGTCCAGCTCTTCCACTGTGCTGAAGGGTGGCTATGCAACACAAGGCTTCACTTGTTTCAGCTGCCAGTGCAAGAGGAAATGCCACTGCAGATTTCACTGCAGACCAGGCATCTTGCTTTATCTATCTGTTCTCCTATTATCTCTTGTTTCTGTTTTCATCCCAGTCTGCACTGCATCATGTGTCGTTTTTAACCTTTTCCACAAGTCTCAGTTTTCACTCTGCAGGGCATGTGTGCAGTCCTCAGATCTGCACTCCAGGTGCTTTGGGAAGATTCATGGCCCAATATCCTAGAATTTATGTCCAGAACATGCCCCAAGTGGTGAGCTTGGCTTCAAGTCCGCCCTCTGGAAGTCCAAGGTTGCAGTTCTGCTACCCCTCCTTGCTTCTCTAAGAATCGAGAACTCCATCATTTCATGATTGTTATGCCCAAGACAGCCTCCAACCATCACATCCCCAAGTCCTTCTCTGTTTACAAGCAACAGGACCAGCAGGGCACCTTCCCTAGTTGGCTCCCTCACCGGCTGTGTCAGGAAGTTATCCTCAACACAGTCCAGGAACCTCCTAGACTGCTCCCTCTCTGCTGTATTGTATTTCCAGCAGACATCTGGTTAAGTTGAAATCCTCCCCAAGAACAAGGGATAGAAGTCTCAATAGTCTTGAGACTTCTCCCAGCTGTTCATGGAATATTTCATCTGCCTCTTCATCCTGGTTGGGATGCCTATAACTGGCTGCCTTGTTGGCCCTCCCCCTGATTCTTTCCCATAAACACTCAATCCTATTGTCACCATCATTAGGTTCTAGAGATTCATAACACTCCCTAACATGCAGGACCCCCCCCACCACCCTCTCCTACCTTGCCTATCCCCTCTGAAGAGTTTATAGCCATCCATTGCAGCACTCCAGTAATGCAAGTCATCCCACCACATTTCCATGATGGCAAATATATCACAGTTTTCCTGCTGCACAGTGGCTTCCAGCTCCTCCTGTTTATTGCCCATGCTGCATGCATTAGTGTAGAAGCACGACAGTTGGGCTGCTTGTCCCACCACCTTTTTGCTGGGAGAAGCTCTAATTCCTACCTGACCATTCCCAGGTGTGGCTGTAGTTTCTAACCCATCAATGTCCCTCACATCTCTGCTGCTGCATGAATCTCCATCCCCTGCCTTCACTGAGTCAGCAGACTGAGGGACCTCACTAGCATACCGTCCCACAGACTTGGCATGCCATCCCCAGGCTTACCTCTAAAGACCCTGGTTTCATCCCCTTCCCCCTTCAAATCTAGTTTAAAGCCTTTTTGATGAGCCCTGATAACTCCTGTGCCAAGAACCTTTTTCCCCCTGTGAGACAGGTGTACCTCATCAGTCACCAGCAGGCCTGGTGTTGTGTAAACCGACCCATCATCCAAAACCCCAAAGTTTGGCTGGAGCCAGGTACTGACCTGCTGGCTCTTCATG